GGGGACACCCACGAGAGTGCACAATGCTAGCTGAGGATGAACACCCCAGCAACCGGCAAACCCCGGAGAGATGCACAGCACATGATACTGACCCAGACACCTATGGATCCAACGCAGCTCTGGGAGCGAATCTACTAACCACCTCTGCTGCCCATGATGGCGGTGAACTCCTGTGAGATCCCGGCTCCCTGCATGTCTAGATAGCCCTTGTACTAGCCAGCATCTGCCTTCCTAGAGGGCTTTATTCAGCGTATTTCTATTACAGTAAAATCTGAATATCGCTAGAAATGTTAAGCCTAGTCACTGATGTTGTTTTTATCTCCCAGCCAGCATTCATACAACGCAACGATAATTGAGATGGTTTAGGCAATAGTGATGTCTATTAGCCATTATGAAACTACTGTTAATCTATGTGAATTAACTTGTATACATATACCCAGCTACCATATGCCATAGCCAGCTTGTTTCTACTCTAACTATAAGTAAAACTGAGGCATTGCGAATCGACAACTGTTTATTGCATGATATATAAAATACAAAAATGTTTGTGCATGTCAAAACAAAAGTGAAGCTAAACCCGAGGACTGCCTTTGGGGCACCTCAGCTCTCTATGTAACCCTCTATTGCACCTCAAAAAAAAATAAAAAAAAATAAAAAAACATATATATTTTTTCTTAATCACATTCCTTTCCCTAAAGGTACAGCTATATGAATAAAATTGGTTATACAATGACAGAATTTACGATTTCACTGATTTTGATCGGATAACTCCCTGACCATGAAATGCCACAGGGCATCACACAAGGCTGCAAAGAGCCCTCAAAGTCCAGTCCTCTAATCCACTTCCATTACAAATATCACAATTTAACTTGTCACTCTTTAAGATTAGCTGCAAAGCATAATGGTCTCATGCATATGGCAACCTCCTCCTGATGCCTTGACTACAAAATAGATTCCTTAGTTGCATCTTCTAGCCTGATGACGAGTCCTTTTCGCAGATGGGATTTACCAGAAGTCTATAGGCAAACCCCAGACTTGCAATCAACACAGAGATCCATCTGCTAATCCACTGCCCTATGCAACTGCCTGAGATAAACGTTATCCAGCCCCAGACTTGCAGGCAACACAGAGTTGTTTACCAACCATTGTTTAATGGTTTTATTTTCCTACATGCATACCTTGGTCTTACCTTTGTGATTTTTGATCTTTCCCTTTGTTTTACTTGAATAATCCTCACCTAGAATGACCATGGTCGCTTTAATGCAGGCCAATCTGACCCTAATATTTCTCTCTCCCACGGCCTTAGTTAAACGTGGTCCAGCCCAAGACTTGTGCATGCACAAATCAAACAAAAATGGCTAAGGCCCAATTTTTGTGAAAATTTGAACAATAAGATATCAAACCCAAGTAACATACAAACCCCCACAATCCACTCCCAACCACTGGCGGATCCAGGGGGGGGGGGCAACGGGGCAATTGCCCCCCCGAGAAATCCGCCGGTCTTCCTCTCCCTCCCCTGCCAGGACATGCAGGTGCTAGCCCTGCAATGTGCCTGCGGACCGGAGGGGAGATCTGAGATCTCCCTCCCCGGTCCGCAGGCACATTGCTGACAGCCGGCAGGGGAGGGAGAGGGAGGACCCGGGAGCTCAGTCTGCAGCTCCTCCGGGTCCTCCTCTCGCGAGATTTGTAGCGTTGGCAACGCTCCAAATCTCGCGAGAGTGAACTCTAGCCCGGGAGCGCGGGCTAGAGTTCACTGTAACCACTGGGACCACCAGGGAATCACCACTGGGACCACCAGGGAATCACCACTGGGACCACCAGGGATGAAAATATGTCCCCCCTCCTCCTCAATAAAGGTAAGAAGGGAGGGGGGACATGAATATTTGTTTTTTTTTATTAAATAAAGATATATATTTATAAAAAAAAGCCCCCCCTACCCTTAACACACACACACATAGCCCCCATACAGCCCCCCATACACATACTGCCCCCCCATACACACACATACTGCCCCCCATACACATACTGCCCCATGCTTTCCCACTTCCATACACACCTTACTGCCCCCATACACATACGCCCCTTTACACATACTGCCCCTGCTGCCCCCACTTACGCACATGCTGCCCCCATACACACATACTGCCCCCCACTTTATACTGCCCCCATGCCTTTATACACATATACCTTTCATGCCGCCCCGCACACATACTGCCCCCCATGCACACATACTGCCCCATACACACATACTGCCTCACACACACATACTGCCCAGCTTACACACACACTGCCCCATACACTGCCGCCCCATACACACACATTGCCCACATTCACACACACACTGCAACTGTTACACACACATACTGTCCCACACATACACTGTATCCCTGACATACACTGCCCCCCTACGCACACACTACAACCTTCACACACACACACACACACACACTGCACCCCTTACACATTGCACCACCACACACACCACTGCTCCTATGCCCTACTACCGCCCCATTTCCCAGCAGACCTCAGGTAAGTTGTCAAACTGTTCTTAAACGGTTTGACTACTTACTCTAGGAGGGGGTCCCGGCACTATTGACACCATAACCACTACACTGAGCTGTAGTAGTTATTGTGTCTGGATTATTTCTTTAAATAATCTACAAGTGCCCCTCCCGAGATCAGGCTCTGGATCCGCCACTGCTCCCAACCCTCCACTGTCAAAATGGACAACCAAACCCTGCAACACCCCCTAGATGTAGCAAATGTCTTTAATAATTATTTTGTTCTATGTGTCACCCTGATTGCTAAGATAACAAATGACACTTGTTCTTAGACATCAAATGCAGATCAGGTTCTGCTAAATTTGCACAATCCTCATATAGAGAAATTACAATTTAGACCTGTGCCAGTTAGTGTCATTAATAAACATCTTCATCATTTAAAAAAGAAAAAACAAATCCCAGCAATGCTGTTGAAGCTCAGTGCGCTGGCAATTGCTAAACCCATCACTACCCTACTCAATGAATCCCTGGTATCTGGATACAAACCCAAACTTTGGAAGACTGTAAGAGTAGTGCCTATCCATAAAAGTGGTGACAACACTTTGTTATCTAACTATCGCCCAATATCATTGCTCCCAGTATTGTCAAAAATCATAGTCAAATGCATTCACACGTAACTTATATGTATATTATCAACAATCAAACAATCTGACTCCTGATCAATCAGACTTTCGTCTAAATGACACACCAATGACTGCCCTTTTAAAAGTTTGCAAAGACATCCAAACTGGCATGGAACAAGGGGATTAACTTTGCCAAGGCCTTTGACACGCTAAACCATGGCATTCTTTTGCAAGAACTTAAAAACTCAGGAATTGGTGATCGTAGGCTAACCTGGTTTCGATCATATGTATCAGATCGATTGCGATTTGTGTCTGTTTCTGATAGCGCTTCCCTCCCTCTTCCAGTCCCCTGGGGTGTTCCCCAAGGTCTCATACTTGGCCCTCTGCTATTCACATTATTTCTAAATTACGTCTGCAAATCCTCAACTGTACACGTGTATGCAGAGGACACTTATCTCCACCAATAAACCCAATCTACCGGAGCTTGAAGCTGTGCTCCAAGACCAGTTAACAGAGTTAGAAAAGTGGATCGCAGATAACAAACTCTTCCTAAACACTGACAAAGCTGTTACAATGATCTTTGGACCTGTACCTAAATTAAAACAACTACAAAATCCCTTTTTACTATAAACCATGATGGCTTTTCCTCCGACTTCAACCTAGACAAGGATTAAATATAATACAGTACCTGAAATGTATTGTCCTGGGTAAAATCCTGTGAATAACAGGGGCTGTGTCTTCTTTTTGGTTTATTTCTATTACTGAATTTAGCTGCAAGAAATTAATGTTAATAAGGTAAATAAATTATTTATACATATGTATATCACTGCCTGCACACTGTGTGTAAGATATTAATATACAGTAAGTGTTTCAGTATTTCTGTGTCACAGTGTGTTAGCAGAGAGTGTGTATATCACTGCCTGCACACTGTGTGAAAGATATTAATATACAGTAAGTGTCTCAGTGGTTCTGTGTCACAGTGTGTGTGTCAGTGTGTTAGCAGAGGGTGTGTATATCACTGCCTGCACACTGTGTGTAAGATATTAATATATAGTAAGTGTCTCAGTAGTTCTGTGTCACAGTGTGTGTCAGTGTGTATGCAGAGGGTGTGTATATCACTGCCTGCACACTGTGTGTCAGATATTAATATACAGTAAGTGTCTCAGTAGTTCTGTGTCACAGTGTGTGTCAGTGTGTTAGCAGAGGGTGTGTATATCACTGCCTGCACACTATGTGTACGATATTAATATACAGTAAGTGTCTCAGTAGTTCTGTGTCACAGTGTGTGTGTCAGTGTGTTGGCGGAGGGTGTGTATATCACTGCCTGCACACTGTGTGTGAGATATTAATATACAGTAAGTGTCTCAGTAGTTCTGTGTCACAGTGTGTGTCAGTGTGTTAGCAGAGGGTGTGTATATCACTGCCTGCACACTGTGTGTAAGATATTAATATACATTACGTTTCTCAGTGGTTCTGTGCCACAGTGTGTGTCAGTGTGTTAGCACAGGGTGTGTATATCACTGCCTGCACACAGTGTGTAAGATATTAATATACAGTAAGTGTCTCAGTAGTTCTGTGTCACAGTGTGTGTCAGTGTGTTAGCAGTAGGTGTGTATATCACTACCTGCACACTGTGTGTAAGATATTAATGTACAGTAAGTGCCTCAGTAGTTTTGTGTCCCAGTGTGTCAGCAGAGGGTGTGTATATCACTGCCTGCATACTGTGTGTAAGATATTAATATACAGTAAGTGTCTCAGTGGTTCTGTGTCACAGTGTGTGTCAGTGTGTTAGTAGAGGGTGTGTATGTCACTGCCTGCACACTGTGTGTAAGATATTATTATACAGTAAGTGTCTGTGTCACACTGTGTGTACATATCACTCACCTGTACACATTTCTGGATGGCTCCTCTTTTCCCGAGGATTATGATGGTCACTTAATATCTGTTCTGAGTTTCTCTCATTCTTGGCTTCCCCAGATTTGACATTAGCACTCCCTATTAAACACATTGTGCAGATAAATAGATTGTTATCTGTTAACAAAAAGCAGCAAACCTTATTTAGCATCATTTATCTGTATGCAGAGAGATTGCAAAAACCCATCACCATGAACATCTGGGTTCGGTAAATGGACCCAGCACAATCTAGGTTATTCTTTGAGCTGGCTTTACTGCACAGAGCATCTGACGTATTACTGTCTAAAATACTGATATACACGTACGCACACCCATACATCAATACATTTCTCACCTAAACTCTTCTGAGACAGGTGTTTCTTCTCAATCCACTCCTCATAATCTTCCTTGTGTCCTTCTAAATATTCCCAATCCTCTACGGACAGATTGACATCCACCTCGCACTTTGCAGTGACCTGGGATACAAACGTATAGTTATGGTCCACATACATTATCGGACTCTTGTGTGATAACTTCTGAATCCTCGCATTGCTTACCTCTTCTGTGAGAAGCTGAATGATCAGGTTAGCTAGACTCACAATCTTCTTCTGAGTGTTTCTGTCTTTCACCAACACACTGCGTAGAGGCACCAACACTGGGTTCTCTGAACTGCAGCATGTCCCCGGCAAAGGGCAAGGGCTGCTGTCCCTAACACAATTGTCCGACTTCTTCACAACTACGCAATCCTGCAAATTGAGGAGCCGATGAATATTTCTAGTCAAATCAATTAAATAATTTTATGTGCTAGGAGAAATATTGATTGAAAATGCCCAGGAACGTTGCGAAACACGACTCAAGCATAGGACCTCACTCTTTTTTTATTGATTTGTTTATTTTATTTGTTTTAACTATAGTTCATTCAATCCATTTTAATGCTTATATACCTACTGCAAGTGATTCTATCCTGATATTCCGAACTATAGATCTTAAGGAGCATAAAGTCTACAAACCTGGAGCCAGTCTTATATGCGTTCCAGGTAAAGGTGAGCATATCTATATAAGGTTTATTACACTTTTAATTTATTGGATTATTGCACCATATTGGTTTCCCCCCCCCCCCAGTTTTGTCCCCCCTGAAGAGCCGCTGTGGGGACATGCGTGCGTCAGGGGCTCTTGGTGTCCCTCTCGAGAGTGATATTGTATGACGACACAGAGATAGCTTGGATGTAATACTTTCTAGGAACACCCAGCTCTATGCACTTTTATCATCTAGTGTGAGCTATGTCTACCTATCTTCATATCTACTGGATTTATCAGCATATTGACTTTTTTTCCTTACACGTGCTAGAGGAGCCTCAGTTTTGATCTGAGGGGGGTGGCCTCAAAGGGACGTTAGGGCTGTAAATTAAGTTGAACATCACACTCTTTTTTTTCTTTATTTTAGGTAACTGTAACTGATACTATTTATTAGACAGTTTGGCACAATCTATATAAATTATCCCTTTTTATCCCAGTTTATATAGTTCTCAGTTTTTTGGAAACAATTTATTACATTCCATTTAATTTCTGAATATTACCATTCTTTATAGATTATGTTCACACTGTAGTGTTAAATAGAAATGTTGATGGAATATTACAAAGATCATTCACCTCTTAGAGATACAGCACGATTTAGGTGCTTACTTTCACCTACATACCTCAATGATTTAGGTTAGGTGCCCTCTCTATAAAGGATTCGGTCAATATTCCCATCAATAGGGTTCTACATATTCTCAAAATTGAAATTGGGTAATATATTTCATTTTTGTTTTAATTGTTATGTATTAAAGGTTACGTTTTAATTCCATTTGGTAGATAATGACCTACTTTATATTTCACTAATTGCCAAACACTCATAGTTTTTCTTTTTCTCCTTTTGCAATTAGTATATCTGAGGGTTATCCCCCAGTTCAGAGTGTTTTTCCTATCGTTAAATTGGCTGTTTTCTTGCTTTTTCATTCTATAGTTTTGTGTATCCACTATTGGAGGAAATTTACATCAATCACAGAAGAGGTAGTGTCACAGCCAAAAAGGCAAAGAAGCCTTTACGTTCAGAGCCTAACCGTGTCAAAAGGCTCTTTCAAATGTGAGTGCAATCATATCCTTTGTTTGCACTTTTTATACAATATTTACAGTATTGCACAATTATTTTTTCTTATTTTAGTATACATACTGGGGGTAAGTTGTTTTTGCAGTAGATTAGCACTGCACTCTCACTTTGCTGTTTGGTGTGGTGGGGTCCATCACCTAAACGTTGAGTTTATATTTTGATTTAAGGAGAAATATACCCATAGACTTATAAAGTGTAAGATGTGTATTAAATAGAGTGATACTGTAATAGTACTGTGTTTGTACAAATGTGGCATCATTAAATCTCCATTGTAGAAAAAACACCATTAATAAGGATGACTTTAAAGCAAGGTTAAGATGGGGTGAGGATCTTGGAATTGGAGTACGTTTAGGGCCAGGTGGTCATTTATGGGTACCTACATTCATGTTGCTCTGACCTGTAACTCAAATTATTTGCCTGGCTGAGAGTGACAGTAGTTACAGTCTATATATCACCGCAAAGGCTGATACCACCAAACCATAGGTTTCTTCTTAATCCTAAACCCACCTAAACCTTAGTCCTCATAAACCTGCAGCATGAGATACACAGCTCTACCATGTATCATTATGGAATCGGTTACAATGGAGTACTTAGCATTGTGATAATGCACTGCATAATAATGAAAACTTTACAGCTCAGTTTAACCTTCAACTGCAGAGGGTGCGGTGCACAACAGGTATTTCCCAGCATGCACTTTGACTCCTTCTTACCTATCTTTTTAAATGGATTAACATGTCTGGTTACTGCTGCGGAAGATCAGGAAAAAAGGCGAAAGTAAAATATTTCCCAAATGCCACTTAATCATTAGATACGGAGCAAATACAATTCAATCATTCTAAATATCTTAAAAGTATCTTATTTTAAAAACAACATATAGTCCCTTATGCATTTAAGAATTAAAGTTGTAAAATGTAACATTTCCATCTGCACTCCTTACAAAACAGTTTAAACATTATCTACAACAGCGAACATACCTTTCCCCAATCGCTTCTTCTACTCTCCCTCTCTAAGGATCTGTTCTTCATTTCTTCATATCTGCTCTAGTTTTCTTTAAAACATAAGACAAAATAGGGACTATTTTGTCTTATGTATTTTTCGTACGCTTGACCAGCTTTGACCCAGGGGAGGAGCAAAGTCCACTCTGTTTCGTGTGGTCAAAACAATTTCCCCACAATTCTCACCTTCCTCTTGCGGCTTCATTCGGCGTTCGAACGTCGGCAAAACTACCGAATTTCGTCCTAACAGAATGAGAACAGTTTGTCCATTCGTGTTAGGATGCAATTCGGGACTTTTGTTCGGATCGGAATTCATTTGCCGCGAGTAGATAGCTCTCTAATTCCCATGGTATAAGGGAGCTATCTAAAGGCTGAAAGACCTAAATTGGTCTTTCAGACAAATTTACTAATACTAAGTAAAGATTACTATAATAATAATAATAAATCTGCCCCTACTTGCTATACCACGAGTAGGGGGATGTCCACTAAACAGTGGGCAACCAGTGGCTGCTCACTGTTGTAAAAAAAGACCCCCCACTACTTTAATAAAAATATATTATAAAGCCTTCCCACGCCCTGCAATTTGACTCAGAGCGCTCTGATTGGTTGGTTTAAGTCAACCAATAAGAGTGCTCTGATAGGTAATTCTTAAGCCTTGAAAGTTACCTATCAGGCAAGGCTCAAGATCTACCTATCAATGCACTCTTATTGGTTGACTTAAACCAACCAATCAGAGCGCTCTGAGTCAAATTGCATAAGCCGTTCTCCACCCTGAAGAGCTCAGTCTGCGCGGTGCCCTCGCTTGGTGAAAATAGATTCTTTTTTTAGCGTTGGGATTTTTTTTCCCCGCCAATTTTATTTTTATTTTATAAATTAGACGGGAATTTATAAATTTTTCCCGCCAATTTTATTTTTATTTTATAAATTCAACGGAAATTTTTACATTTTGCCCCCACCCGTCACTTGGGCCACCACCCGCCGCTCATGGGTGGGGGCCGGGGAGGAGGGACAATAGATTCCCCGCCCCATTGTAACTTAAGGGCCCCCACCCGCCGTTCATGGATGGGAGCCAGAGGGTGGACAATAGGTCCCCCCTATTGTATTTTAGGGTCCCCACCCGCCGTACATGGGTGGGAGCCGAGGGAGACACTAGGTCCCCCGTTTAGTTTAGTGGCCCCCACTCTTGGTGCATGAGTGGGAGCTTGGGGGGACACTTTTGCCACTGGCTGCTCACTGTTTAGTAGACATGCCCTTACTCGTGGTATAGCGAGTAGGGGCATATTTATTATTATTATATTAGTCTTCACTTAGTATTAGTAAATTTGTCTGAAAGACAATTTAAGTCTTTCAGCCTTTTAGTAGATAGCTCCATGATACTTTGGGAATTAGGGAGCTATCTACTCGCGGCACGGATAGATCAGTGTTTCATTCATTCAAATGAAATTCGGATCTGAACAAAAGTCCCGAATTGCGTCTTAAAATGAATGGACAAATTGTACTTATTCGGTAATTTCGCCCGCGTTCAAACGCCGAACGAAGCAGCAAGAGGAAGGTGAAAATTGTGGGGAAATTGCTTTGACCACAGGAAACAGAGCGGACTTAACTCCTCCCCTGAGTCATAGATGGTCAAGTGTAGGAAAAATATATAAAACAGAATAGTCCCTACTTTGTCTTATGTTTTAAAGAAAACTAGAGCAGACAGGAAGAAATAAAGAACTGATCCTGAGAGAGAGGAAGTGATTGGGGAAAGGTAAGTTCGGCATGACAGTGCCGCTTTAAAGGAGCACTATAAACATCAGCACCATCCAAAGAGTTTTGGGTGTCGTCCCTCTGATTGTAACGGTTTTCATGTGGATTGACAAAAACTGGGGTTCTCCCAGCACCAAAACTCTGTCCACTCTGCTGCCATTATTGAAGAATTTCTCATCAGCAATTTCTATATTTTATAGCAATGAGTGCTTATTGCTGACAGCTTTGTACATTTACTAAAGAAGTGAAGCTTTAGGTACTGGGGAGCCCATCAACACAGTTTAACAAGAAACATAGATTCTGCACCTAAAGACTCCAAGCACCACAACCACTGCAATATGCTGTAGAGGTCATGGTGTTCAGAGAGTTCTTTTAACAAGGGTCTAAGACTCTAAAAGGTCAGAGTTTCTTTACAGCAGCAATTTACCAACCACTAGGAAACAGAGACAGATTGGTTCCGAATTTCATCACCTCTCCAGTCAGCAAGCAGATTATCTTCAGTGTGATGTGCAAGATCTTCTCACTCAAAGGATCTTTATCCATTACTAACAAGACAGCCAGATGCTGCCGGGGGCAGCTCTAGTCCACCAAGGAGGAACCTGTGAAGAGGGAATTCAATATTCATTAAAGATAAAGTAAGCATTATGTGTGAGGTGTACACTGTGGCATTTGGCAAAACACTAGCATTACTTCCCCCCCCACGCTATTGTAATTGGGTTTCACTGTTAGCAGTAAGGGTTAATATCCCCATGCTGTTGGAGAGTTGTACTGTGTGCAGTAAGGGGTTAATACCCCCATGCTGTTGGATGGGTTGCATTGTGTGCAGTAAGGGGTTAATACCCCCATGCTGTAGGAGGTGTTGCACTGTGTCTAGGAGTGATTACTATTCCATGCTGAAGAAGGGATTAATACCCCCATGCTGTTGGAGGGGTTGCACTGTATGCAGTAAGGGGTAATATTTCCATGCTGTTTAGTTGCACTGTTAGCAGTAAGGGGTAATATTTCCATGCTGTTAGATTGGTTGCACTGTGTGCAGTAAGGGGTTAATATTTCCATGCTGTTGGAGGGGTTGCACTATGTGCAGTAAGAGGTTAATAACCCCATGCTGTTGGAGGGTTTGCACTGTGTGTATTAAGGGGTTAATATTTCCATTCTGTTGGAGGGGTTGCATTATGTGCAGTAAGAGGTTAAGATTTCCATGCTGTCAGATGGGTTGCACTGTGTGCAGTAAGGGGTTAATATTTCCATGCTGTTGGAGGGGTTGCACTGTGTGCAGTAATGGGCTAATATTTCCATGCTGTTGGAGGGGTTGCACTGTGTGCAGTAAGGGGTTAATACCCCATGCTGTTGGAGGGGTTGCACTGTGTGCAGTAAGGGTTAATACCCCATGCTGTTGGAGGGGTTAATACCCCATGCTGTTGGAGGGGTTGCACAGTGTGCAGTAAGGGTTAATACCCCCATGCTGTTGGAGGGGTTGCACTTTGTGCAGTAAGGGGTTAATACCCCCATGCTGTTGGAGGGGTTGCACAGTGTGCAGTAAGGGGTTAATACCCCCATGTTGATGGAGGGGTTGCACTGTGTGCAGTAAGGGGTTAATACCCCCATGTTGATGGAGGGGTTGCACTGTGTGCAGTAAGGGGTTAATACCCCCATGCTGTTGGAGGGGTTGCACAGTGCGCAGTAAGGGGTTAATACCCCCATGTTGATGGAGGGGTTGCACTGTGTGCAGTAAGGGGTTAATACCCCCATGTTGATGGAGGGGTTGCACTGTGTGCAGTAAGGGGTTAATACCCCCATGTTGATGGAGGGGTTGCACAGTGTGCAGTAAGGGGTTAATACCCCCATGCTGTTGGAGGGGTTGCACAGTGTGCAGTAAGGGGTTAATACCCCCATGCTGTTGGAGGGGTTGCACAGTGTGCAGTAAGGGGTTATTACCCCCATGCTGTTGGAGGGGTTGCACAGTGTGCAGTAAGGGGTTAATACCCCATGCTGATGGAGGGGTTGCATTGTGTTCAGAAAGGGTTAATACCCCCATGCTGTAGGAGGGGTTGCACTGTGTCTAGGAGTGATTACTATTCCATGCTGAATAAGGGATTAATACCCCCATGCTGTTGGAGGGGTTGCACTGTATGTAGTAAGGGGTAATATTTCCATGCTGTTTGGTTGCACTGTTAGCAGTAAGGGGTTAATATTTCCATGCTGTTGGAGGGGTTGCACTGTGTGCAGTAAGGGGTTAAAATCCATGCTGTTAGACTGGCTGCACTATGTGCAGTAAGAGGTTAATAACCCCATGCTGTTGGAGGGTTTGCACTGTGTGCAGTAAGGGGTTAATATTTCCATGCTGTTGGAGGGGTTGCACTGTGTGCAGTAAGGGGTTAATACCCCATGCTGTTGGAGGGGTTGCACTGTGTGCAGTAAGGGGTTAATATTTCCATGCTGTTGGAGGGGTTGCACTGTGTGCAGTAATGGGCTAATATTTCCATGCTGTTGGAGGGGTTGCACTGTGTGCAGTAAGGGGTAATACCCCATGCTGTTGAAGGGGTTGCACTCTTTGCAGTAAGGGGTTAATACCCCATGCTGTTGGAGGGGTTAATACCCCATGCTGTTGGAGGGGTTAATACCCCATGCTGTTGGAGGGGTTGCACAGTGTGCAGTAAGGTGTTAATATTTCCATGCTGTTGGAGGGATTGCACTGTGTGCAGTAAGGGGTTAATACCCCCATGCTGTGGGGGGGTTGCACAGTGTGCAGTAAGGGGTTAATACCCCCATGTCGATGGAGGGGTTGCACTGTGTGCAGTAAGGGGTTAATACCCCCATGTCGATGGAGGGGTTGCACTGTGTGCAGTAAGGGGTTAATACCCCCATGTCGATGGAGGGGTTGCACAGTGTGCAGTATGGGGTTAATACCCCCATGCTGTTGGAGGGGTTGCACAGTGTGCAGTAAGGGGTTAATACCCCCATGCTGATGGAGGGGTTGCACTGTGTGCAGTAAGGGGTTAATACCCCCATGCTGATGGAGGGGTTGCACAGTGTGCAGTATGGGGTTAATACCCCCATGCTGATGGAGGGGTTGCACTGTGTGCAGTAAGGGGTTAATACCCCCATGCTGATGGAGGGGTTGCACTGTGTGCAGTAAGGGGTTAATACCCCCATGCTGTTGGAGGGGTTGCACAGTGTGCAGTAAGGGGTTAATACCCCCATGCTGATGGAGGGGTTGCACAGTATGCAGTAAGGGGTTAATACCCCCATGCTGTTGGAGGGTTGCACTGTGTGCAGTAAGGGGTTAATACCCTGTTGGAGGGTTGCACAGTGTGCAGTGAGGTTATGCCCCCATGCTGTTGGAGGGTTGCACAGTGTGCAGTGGGGTTAATACCCCATGCTGATGGAGGGTTGCACAGTGTGCAGTAGGGGTTAATACCCCCATGCTGTTGGAGGGGTTGCACAGTGTGCAGTAAGGGGTTAATACCCCATGCTGATGGAGGGTTGCACAGTGTGCACTGGTTAATACCCCCATGCTGTTGGAGGGTTGCACTGTGTGCAGTGAGGGGTTAATACCCCATGCTGTTGGAGGGTTGCACAGTGTGCAGTAAGGGGTTAATACCCCCATGCTGATGGAGGTTGCACTGTGTGCAGTGGGGGTTAATACCCCCATGCTGATGGAGGGTTGCACAGTGTGCAGTTGGGTTAATACCCCATGCTGATGGAGGGTTGCACTGTGTAAGGGGTTAATACCCCCATGCTGATGGAGGGGTTGCACTGTGTGCAGTAAGGGGTTAATACCCCCATGCTGATGGAGGGGTTGCACAGTGTGCAGTAAGGGGTTAATACCCCCATGCTGATGGAGGGGTTGCACAGTGTGCAGTAAGGGGTTAATACCCCCATGCTGTTGGAGGGGTTGCACAGTGTGCAGTAAGGGGGTTAATACCCCCATGCTGTTGGAGGGGTTGCACTGTGTGCAGTAAGGGGTTATTACCCCATGCTGTTGGAGGGGTTGCACAGTGTGCAGTAAGGGGTTAATACCCCATGCTGTTGGAGGGGTTGCACTCTGTGCAGTAAGGGGTTAATACCCCCATGCTGATGGAGGGGTTGCACTCTGTGCAGTAAGGGGTTAATACCCCATGCTGTTGGAGGGGTTGCACAGTGTGCAGTAAGGGGTTAATACCCCCATGCTGATGGAGGGGTTGCACAGTGTGCAGTAAGGGGTTAATACCCCCATGCTGTTGGAGGGGTTGCACTGTGTGCAGTAAGGGGTTAATACCCCATGCTGTTGGAGGGGTTGCATTATTTTTAAATGATAATGAGAATAGGAGGGGTTATCCCCAGGGTCCTCCCACCCCATGTCACCCTCAATGCAGGGCTGTAACCCCACAGGGGCACTTACCTTACCAAACAAGGGGTCTCATAGAATCACTGCACAGCCTACGGAGGGGGTCGCAAACTGATGACGTCAGAAAGGGAGGGGGCACAAGATAGAGCAATGTTTACAGTGACAGACCATGTGCAGGGCCATCATAAACACCCCCAGACCTCTATATTACTACAATAAATACCCCCACTCCTCTATATTACTACAATAAACACCCCCACTCCTCTATATTACTACAATAAATACCCCACTCCTCTATATTACTACAATAAATACCCCACTCCTCTGTATTACTACAATAAATAACCCACTCCTCTATATTACTACAATAAATACTCCCACTCCTCTCTATTAGTACAATAAATACTCTATATAACTACAATAATACTCTATAAAAGCATAGTGCTTACTGTATAAAAAATATTTATTGAAGAATAAAGTTTAAAAATGCACTCACACTTAGTAAAACAGTCCATCTGACGGTCGGACTGCGGATCTCCATCAGCTGCTTACCCTACATATCCTGACTCCAGTATAGCACTGAGACGTTTTACTAAGTGTGAGTGCATTTTTAAACTTTATTCTTCAATAAATATTTTTTATACAGTAAGCACTATGGTTTTGCAACTCTGTTTCTTTCAGAACGGAGTAATCTTCGTCTAACTAAGGGTCACCTACCATGACCTGTTAGTAATTTTGTGAAGGGTACGAATATTATAACAATTACTGTTGGACCTACAAGGACATCTCATTGATATTGTACTATATGAACTACACTAATCCAGTATACATATCCCAGTTCCATCATAACTGGAGAAAATTGAATTAGCCTACATATCAAAAGACTATTACTGTTATCCAGAGACTGTTACTTATTGGACTTAAACAATATATTTTGCATTATATGTAGCAAGTTGGACATTATTATTTTATTTGAAAAACTCCATTTATTTATATTTTTTATTTATATGTTCTGCTGAATATTATTCAATACTCAGTTTGAGTTCACCATCAGTTTTAACTTTTAAATGCAAACATATTGCAAAGCGTTTTTTCAGCTTATAAGGTTATATATATAAAGGTGTACACTATTAACTACTCCTGGATATTTTATTAGATTTTATCTAATATTCCCCGCCCCCCCCCTTTTATTTTCACTGATAGTAAGTCTGCCTAT